TGATTCACTGATTTTCTACTCTGGAGCGAGAAATCAGTATCATCGCGATGATGTGTGAATCTCCGAGCTCATTTGAGAATTTAAAGTTGATTTTTTGGCTGATTGATACTCTTACTCAATATGCGTTGCTCATGAGGCTGATCTCTCGCGTGATTCCATAATGGAATTTCCATTGAATCTGAGTATTTTCGAAGACCTGATCTTCTAGATCAGGGAATCACAGTTTGAATCAGACATTTTTGACAAGACGAAACTCTAGTCACTACGCCCCACAACCGAAAGTGACAATTTAAAGGAAGAAAGAAGACTTCAGTCTGTGAGGGTAGATCCTGGAAGATTCGCCCTGAATACATGAACATTTCCCGTTAGTAACGAGCCGTTACACTACAGTAATAACAAAACCTATTCCATTCCCCGGCACGGTCGTCATAAGACTCTTATGACGTATTGGCAAGAAGAAGACCTATGAACCTATGGCGGTTCATACAGGCTCTTATGATAAGAGCCTATATGAACCACGTACGCAATACCTCCTTGCACCGTCTTATGTGAATGTTTCGTTAGAAAGCAAGTTCAAGCGAGTGCACGAAATGAAAAATATGTTGATGTAATACACCAACTCATTTCTTATAATACACCAGATATATTCTTATGTTATCGATCGAACCGTAGCCTACGGTCCGTAGGTCGTGCGACCGAGATGGTTTCTTCCATGAACCAGAGTCGTTCCTTCCTTTTTTTGAGTCATTTCCCCAGTTGGTTGGGGGACACAAAGATATGTCAGGAAGCGGGCCATATTCTGCGACAATGTCGCGGCGACATAGCTAGTGACGCTAACTTAGTGTGATCTAACATTATCTGTGAACCTATGGCCCAAGGTAAGACCCAGAGAGAGTTCGGGCTTCCGGTTCACAGTGTTTGGTCCTCTCCCACACTCCCAACCAAGTGTCCGGCTGACGGACAGATGTCGCTCGAATTGAGAAAATGAGTCTTGAAAAGTATGAGCTCACACTTTAACTGGTTAGAAATGCGCTTTCACTCTACCGAAGCCAAGGTCTATCCCCGGGGACGGTCATTCTGAAAGCTGGCTCGCAAGGAGCTGAGGAGGTCTACCGTGGCCCGCGCTGAAGTCGTGAATCAAGGTCGAGAATCAGAATCAGGGTTTAGTACCGGGGGTCTGGACCTCCGGTACGGAATCAAGAAAAATCCCCGTGTTGAAGTGTGAACTTGCGCATCATGAATATGATCCAGGATCATGCTCCAGGTGAGATGGCGATGTTGAATCTGAGCAGCTTTGAGGGTGAGTGAAAATATCTCGACTCCTGAGAATTAGTCTCGAACCACGAGTGAAGATCCCACTCTGAGTATTTATCTCGAAATATTCTGACTCAGTGCCAAAGCTCTGAATCTGCCATTGAGTATAGGATTTGGATCTTGAATCATGATTAGGGATCATGACCGGATTCAGCGGCTGATTGAGATCAATGATCAAGCATCTTGCTCATGACTACGTAATCTGACTCTGTCAAGTACTCATACTCAGAAATCTCGACTCTTAAGTTAGTTAAGGGCCTGGCAGCGCCAGCGCTTGACACGCTAAAATGCAAAGATACATGAGCGAGGATTCGAACCTGCGCACAGGATTTTGCGCAGATCGTCATGGATCCTGTGATCGATTCAGCATTAAAAATTCTTGAACAACGGCAAGGTGAGTTGCCAGAGCTCAATTCATTTTTTCCTTCCAATGTATACCCCTCCCCTTGCAAGTTTTCTTGGTGTACTGGCCTTAGTGCCCGCTGTTGCCTCCGCGAATTAAACGAGGCTTGTCGCTTTCGAGTGCATTCGCGACAAATAGGGGACTTAGTGCCTCCTTGAATAATAAGAGACCTAGCGTCCTCAAGTGTCTTCTCGAGGCTCGAGACTCGAGACTCGAGCAATAAGAGGCTTCGCGCCCTCAAATGCCTTAGCGGCGAGCAAGGGGCTCCGTGCCTCATAATGACTTTGAAGCAGCTTCAAAGTTTTCGCCTCCGACTTTATGATCGAATCTAATTGTCTGGTATATTGTCAACATGCAAGCGAGTTAACGTGAGTCTAGACATATGGTCAAGGTCCAGTAGGAGCTCGTGTCTCTGTAAGTATACTCGGAGACAGTCGTATGAATAGCAAAAGGCAGGTGCCATGGGTCATGCTTACACTCAACATGGATCGGTAACTTTCTCCTCGATTACACTAGAATTGAAGGGAAGCACACTGCTGCGAATGTAATAGCAACCCTGAGAGATATACTCTTGAAGTGCCACATAGGCAACCACGATGGCATCGCACGCGGTACTATTCTAATCGACGCCGCAGCGAACAGCTAGGGAATGGTGAAAGATTTACGTGAGAAAAATGGGTTAAAAACATGGGATATCCCACACATTTTATGCTGTGGACACAAGCTCCATCTTGTGGTGAGCAACTCTCTCGAGATCTGGTCACGCACCACAGATGACTACCCAGATAGAACGCCCTGCGACCCAGATTCAGAGGTTGCAGAGGACGACTCGTCGGATCTAGATGATCTCACCTACGACGACTCCGATTCTGAGGTAGAACTCGGAGATACTGACAAATCAATAAACTACGCTTGGGCGGAGGGGGTCGTGACAGAGGCGGCTTCACGTCAAAGCAGGCAGTGAAAGTTCCACTGTGGAACAGCGCTATCAGAAAAGCAAGAAACAGTTTAAGGTTCCTTCGCCAGTCGACCAACGCTGTAGATTTGTTACAGGGGTTGTGCTACCAATCAGAACCGTAAGATAACCTTGCCGGCAAGGGATATAATAACGCATTCAGCTTACTCATTGTTTAACTGGTATAGGGCGATCCGTGTGCTATTCGAAGCATACCACTGATATGATACCAGCAACAATGTCTGAAGAGAGGAAAGCGTGACACGTTATATGTGCACTCCAAAAAGTTTCAATTCCTGGCAGGGCATTACGAAACTATTGAAGACCTGTGCGAGGCATTGGGATATCTCCTGGATGCGACTAAGCTTTTGTCTGCCAGACAATGTCTGGGACCCGATTTCTGACTCTCGGGCTTATTCGACCCGTAGTAAAGGGATTGTTGGCCGGCTTGGGTGATACATCAGATGGTCGTGGAAGAAGGTCCAAAATCAGGCAGTGCCTTTCATCAAGCCTTGAGAAGTACTTCCGAGAGCATCTTGATGACGACAATATTATCGGCATCCTCTCTACGTGCGCGACTCATCCGAACACTAACTTTGCGGACACAGAGACAGAAAGTGTAGGACAAGCAGCTGTGAGGTCATGCACGGAGGCTCTCGGAATATAGGATAGAGTTGCGATGCTCCGAGGAGCAGTTACTCAAACTTATATTGCCGGATCATCCGAGTGCACGTTGCTCAGCAGACTCAGAAGGAGAAAGCCTTGTATTCGACCAGAAGACGCGTCAAGCTTGACGAGGAAGCTCCAAATACATGAGAGAACGTTGGCTACCCGACATAAAGGCGGTTCCCGGTTATAAAGATCTCTCTGTGCGCTGATGGGACTGACTCATCATCGTCTGATCCGACTATCTATGAGTTGCCCAGTGTGATTGATATGAGATTTAGAGTCCTGTATGATGTAGTTTACCATCAACGGCGACGACCTGTGCGCCGATGGTTCAAGGTTACAGTGCGTGAGATGCGTGCCTCGGCTCGGGTTGACGTTGAACGCGATGATGAGCCCGGTGAGATCGAGACTTGATTTCTGGGCCTGTCAACATAGATCGATGTTATGAGTTTTGCTCTCTTTCACCTAGTATTATCGTTTTAAGTTTATAACCTTCAAGTTTATAGTATGGTAGATTTTGCACAGCCACAGGTATTACCAATGGCTTGTGCTGCACAAGCCATAAAACATCCGTACGCATGCACAAGTTGTGCATGCGTACGGATGTTTTAGCTAGAAGTTCTAGCTAGAACCCACATGTTTGGTTCTAGCCTAGAGACGAACATGTGGGTTCGGTGCAATATTTCTTTGCTAAAGGTCGAGAATCCGTAGCCATCCTGGCTCAAGTCCGAGTTGTGTTGTAATAACCCTCGATAATCCTATCGTCTCAAGCCATCACGCACACAATTTGTGTGGGCCGCACAATTCGAGCAACGTGCTGATGTCAGGCTGGCATTGTCAGTATTTCTCAAACGTTCAAGCCGTCCGTGCTTATCATCTCTCTCACATCCATATGAAGATATTTTTTATTCTGGCTCTCCTGCTCGTCCTGGGTGTTGTTAACGGTGATTCTCACGTGGATGATACCGAGAAGATCTTTCCCGGCATGATGATGAATAGGCGGGCCGATAATGGCGGTGACCAGAAATCCTACTTCGACCAGAAACAAGACTCGCCTAACAACCTTGGAGACCCATTTTCTTGTGCTGCGTGTAAAACCTGCAAGAAAATCAAGTATGTTCCGGCTTTCTGCTGGGCAGTATATATGGGGTGTGGCTCTAACTGCAAACAACATTGTTGCTGATTGCGGCAATTGTTGGGATGGTTACATTTGATGTTTTTGCCCGACCAACAATCCAGGTGTACATCTTCCATACATGTTCGGGCATAACTTTGTAACTTGACCTACTTTTATTTCCTCAGCTAGAATTTCAGTCGCGTCGGTCCAAGGATGTTATTTGATGTAAAAGCCAGTTTCGTGGTCAGCCTCAGGATGCCATCCCTGGTCACGGTTATCTTCAAGGTCGCACGGCACAGTGCTGCTGAGGATGCATCATGACTCGTGATTCACGAGATGACCCACATTGGTTTAGCATGTCGTCGAGTCTTTTTTGTATCAACTTTGTCCCTGGTGATACGTGCTGTATGCGCCATCGTTGATGGCTAGCGTATAGCTATCGATGCTTCGCAGATCGCTCTGTCGTGTCCCATCCATACCCTTCAGAAGTCTATTTGGTGGATAGAGTCGCTAAGTTCGCGGATAGATTATGTACATACAGGGTTAGAGACACTGGTTCAGTGATTGCGTTTACTGAAGTGAATCATAT